TTCACTTCATTGTAATAGTAAAATGAAGGGGATAGGGGCTTTTTATAGCCAACGTCCCCTCCTCCATTCACCGCCTCAAAGTTAAGGCGATAGATGTCCACCATTATTTTACAACAATTTGTCCATTTCTTTTATCAATTGTTTGTTGAGAAAATGGTACTCAAGGGAGGGTATTTAGGATATTGAAAATCTCAAGGGAGGTATCTAGGGTTTTTGTAACAATTGGTGGTAATTTGAAGTTTCAGGAAACTTCAAGCGAGGTAGTGATTATAGGCCTTAAAATTTTAAAGTACATAAAGGAATGGATTGTTGTCAATCACACTACTTAATAGCCGTATTTTGGTCGTAGTTGACGGCTATATTTGGGCTGTTAACGACACAATGAATTTAGTTGGTCGTGCGCCATTTCGGCAACTGTCGACTACCGTCTAGCAGTAGTGGCCGACTACCAACAGTTTTTGGGTGGGTGGGGTGTTTTTATTAATTTATAAACTTTTATTATGGGGAGTGTTTAGTTGAATTGACAAATATAGGGGGTTAAAAAATAATCTGAATATTTTCACAAAATGTTTTCAAAAAATGTACCTAACAACTATTCTAATTTTTAAATATTATACCATACACATTCTCAGAATCCTATCTTATTTGATTTAATTATATCATATTCTATTCAAATAGTTTTTCAAGATAACATTTTTTCAAATAACCTACCAAATGTGATAATAGCTGCCATTATGGTATTTCAAAATACCAAGTGTTGATTGCTTTTTGAACTGTTATGCAATTAAAGCAATAACAGTTTCAATTTTTAATTTAAAAATGGTTGTTATGCAATTAGAATAATGACAGTTTTTTTAGTTTTAATAGGTGAGTGGCTGTTTCATGGGTGGCTATTATAAGATTGATAGTTTCAACTGTTATAATATTAATAAATTGGAGTGACACAATTGATCACTAATAAGCCACAAAATTCATGAAACTTAGATTAACCTAATGTTAACCATGTAGAATTATGAATTAACAAGGTATCAGATACCGTTATGAGGTTGGTAGTGACATGCAAGTATCCTGGATTCTAATTGTTTGAATGAACTCTCATAAGGATTTGATAATGTATGTTTACTGAAAGAATTCTAAGTTCTTAATTCAGAGTCCGTCTACAGTCAAATTTATAGACTTAAGATAAACAGACACAACCCTTATGACAAGACACAATATCCACAACCGTTTAATTAACTTCCAATAACTGCTTGGAAGTTAATTAACAGTTTTTATCTTTCCTATAAGGTCTGCTTAGGAGTTTTTTTTTTCACTGGTTTTGGGAGGTTTTTCAATTAGACTGGTTTTGAGGTGTTTAAAAACCATTACTTGCCAGATTTTTAATGGGCTGGTTTTAACTGGTTTAAAAGGTCCCCAAAACCAGTAGTGTATTTTTGAGGGGATTATAAAACACCCCAAACCGGGATGTTTTGACTGGTTTAAAAAGTTTATCCCAAAAAAACCCATTCCCACTAATAATCCCTTTGCTGCACACAAATCTCTTACTGCTGTTGATTTCTCTCTCTTACGAAGTGAGTGAATGGTTTTAATTTGTGATATTTTCTTATATTTGTGAGTTTATTTGCTTTATTTTCTTTTTTAATGATAGTCAATAAACGGCATCAACCTAAAATTAGGCATTTTGGTTTCTAATAGTTTGAACAGAGTTGCTATTTGCAATTGCTAATTCACAAAAGAGTAAGTTTCGTTTTCTTGTCTTCTTTATTTGTTTATTTCTATATAATTAGTTTATTGTATTTGATTCTCCTCACTTTTAGCATTTTGGGTTTGTATTATAGACCAAGCTTTGTTGATTGTTTGCCATTTTCATTTTTTAATCTTGTTTGCGGTGAATTATAAGCATGAAGATTTTATGATTGTGCATTCTCAAATTTTTCCTTTTTATTGTAAATTTGTAACTGATTGTGAAGGATGAATGGTGTTTTGAACATTTTGTTCCCAGAGTTTTCTGACATCCTAAAAAAAAAGTCACAGAGCCTTTTCGTTTGATTATTCCTTCTCCAGCTTGCGTAGATAGAGAAATTGTAAGTAAAATCAACACAACAATGGAAATCAACACAGGAAACTTATATTCTTTGACACATATAATAATGGACGAATTTACATTTTAGCTTAACAATCCTGGAAGCAAGAAGGCGTTTAACCTTAACAAATAAAATAAAGCGAAAGATAGACAAATAATGTCCTCTTGTTTCATTGGAGAGAAAGAAAATAAAAACAAATAATGTAGGCATTATTTGTATTTATCAAAGTTAATTCAGCAAAAGAGAGAGTGTTTTAACTTTATGGGCATATATGTGTATTTATCATTTAAAAAAATTGTTAAAACCGTTGGAAAATAAACTCTCAAGCACAGGTTGGGTGTTTTAAAAACCGCTATTAAAAACCCCTCAAAACCGCTACGATGGTTTACCCTCATAACCGTTACCATAAAACTCCCAAGCAGACCCTAAGAGTTGCAATCATATATAAAGAGTTATACCACAATAAGTGTGTTTGGTTCAATGCCATATAAGATTACTCCGGTAATCTTCGTTTAATTTTCAAGATTCCCTTGTTTGGTTTGTAAGTAATAAAATATTATGGTAATCTTTTGTTGTAAATAGCATTTACTGTTGGTAATATAGGGAGTAATCAGATTACCTTGCCAATGGGTGTTATTAAAAGATTACCGAGGTAATCTGATTTTTATACATATTTTGCCCTTAATTAAATACCATTTCAGACACAATTGCCCTCAAATGTCTACCAAATAACCATTAGCCTAGACCCTCTATATTTGAGAATTTAGGTAAAACACCCCAACCACAAAAAAGTTTAAAAGTTAACAAAATACCCCTAGTCATCCAAGACCACCGCCGTTGCCAGCCACCACTGTGGTAGTCGCCATATCGGCGTACGACCGGCAAGATCTGGCCGGTCGTGCACCGATCTAGCTGTTTTTTACTAGATAGAAAGCTAGAAACGGCTAGATTGTCGTGAATCTGGCAAGAAATGACCAGAATAGATATGGCCGTTTTCGGCTTTCGGCCTTCGATTTGGTCGGAAATAGCCAAATCTTTGGTTGTTTTCGACTAGATATGGCTGTTTTCGGCCATGGATCACAAATAAAATCCTATATGATTAGGACTAAAAGCCTTTAAATACATTTTGATGTGTAGAGAATAATAATTTAGAAAAATCGAGTTAAAGAAGCTAACCCATGAGCTTAGTAATATTCTAAATTTTTTTCTATTAAGTTATTATAAATAAAATCCTTAGTAAAATAATATTCCTACAATTGCCCTTATATTATCAATGTATTTACTTAAAAACTAATATTGCTCATTTTGTATATTAAAATATATTACTTGTGTTCTTATTAGAATACAGTTTAAGGAAATTTATTATTTTCTTTAAAAAAAAAAAAAAATGAAAAACTTGAGAATAATTTTATCCTAAATAGATTGAAAGATCATTGTCCCTTAAGAAAGCTAATTTTCAAGTGCTACAATGATGTTTCAAAAGTAGTAACAAACCCTTAATAGGGGTCATTTTTATAATTGTAGGAGGTTTGATTGATATTTTTCATGCCCAAACATCCAGTGCTGTGGGACTTGTCGTGTGCTGTCCGTGATAGGCTTCTACGGACGGAGCATATGCCTGGATGAATTTTATCTGCCACCCAGAAACTTACAACCATGCCCAAATAGCAGTAAACAGATTTGACATATAAGAAAGTAAAGGAAAATAATTGATACTCCACCAGATGATTCTACTTCTACTACGAAGATAAATATATAAAACTGGCTTATTCAATTTTAATTGGCTAAATGACTTGAGTACTTACTATCTGATTGCAAAAATAAATAAATAAAGAGCACAACCCTATTTTTGCAACTTCCTGTGCCCTTTGACATCAAAATAGAGGAATACACTCTTCCTTACAACCCCCAAGTAGTGTAGCAGAAACTTGAGAATTATGTAGTAGAAAAAATGTTTATTTGACATTCCTTTAAATTTTAAGAAAAAATATGATATTAATTCAGGATAACAAGGACATAATAGTCTTTTACACTGCTGTTTTCAGAAAACTGAGGGGTGGGTATTTCATATTTTTCCACAGAGTCAATATATATGGAATGAGTTTCCGCACCAAATGAAGAGCCTAACTTTTAACTCAATACCTTGATTCTATAAAATACTGTAACGACAACGGCTATGCGCTCAGCTCCTTCATAATATAATTTAGGAAATAAAACGGGTTATCAAACAAGCCCAAAACGAATACAAGTAATAACATGAAGAACACTACGCTTCACAAATGACGTGAAGAATGATATTATATATTACATTATAATTCTATTTAAATTTTTTTTTTTTCCTGATTGTTCTTATAATAAATCTTGGCTCTGATAGTTTCTGTAGAAAAGCATGATCCTTTCTTTTGTGTAAAGTTGACTATACTGTTTTCTATTAAACTCTATAACCCAAATGCAAGCTTCTTGGCTGGATAAATCCCATTTACTCTAACTTCTTTCTGCTTATTCTGTGGCGAGAGCTGCATTCCACTTTCCTTCTTTTTCTTGTATTCCATATTTGATTCACCTGTTTTTTCGCCACCACTTTTCCTGCCATGCAAGCGTCAAAAAATGAAATGGTAAGACTAAGAAATCTATGCAAAACATGAGAATTACTAGCTCACAGCTAATTCTTTTTTTTTTTTTTTCTTTTAGATTTTCTGATAAAAAAAAGTATTTTTTATCAAACCTGAGGTGAAGCAAAACAAACAGCGCACCAACAACAGCAGATCCACTTGCTACAGACATCAGCAGTAGCCTTCTGCCGGACTTGTGCCTTGCTAGTTGTACACCGGGATCATCTGTTCTATCAGAGTTCTCGACTGATTCCACCACTTCATTTTGTTTGAGAACCTATTGAACAAGATAAGTCAATATAAGCTAGTAATCAAGGGTTTTTAAAAGAGATCGAACACCAAAATAGTAAAAGAATAAACAAACCTCGCTATGCCCCTTATCCACATCTTCTGCAGAGGAAGAATGATTTTTCTGAAATGTACAACCCACGTTTTCCATACATTCAGTCGTCGAGCACAAACATTTATCTGGTATTGATTCAACAATGGCAGAATGAATTAACTCTTTGTCATTTTGAATAACACCAGACTTGATGTCTTCATGCACTAAGGCATCTCCTCCGGCGATTTCCCCATGTAGACCCTTGTGCAAAATAGAATTGGGAGAAGTTTTGTTACCCTCATTCCCATCATTTTCATCAGATATTATACCAACGACACATTTGCCTTTTTGATTCCATAGATGAAGATCAAGTGGAGAATAAGATTGAGCCAACAAATCCAAACATTGATTGCAATTTACATTCTTTAAACAATCTGAATCTAATTGAGAGCATTTTCCCTCATCAATTCCAACATTTGGATCTAGTGACTTGCATATTCCATTATCATATACAACACCATGATCTGAATTACCAGTGATGCATGATGGACTATCAGAACATGGTTGCAAAAGGTTGGTATTGAAGCTTTCTTGTATGAATTTTATGTCAATAAGTGGCTCTTCAGCCTTAGGTTTTGAGCAGTACATGAGAGTCTTGTTTTTGACTGCGTTCTGAGTTTTGTGATCCGCCTCGCCGTGCTGCACTTCAGGTAACCAGAAAGTTTTGAAATCATGACCTGCATCCTCTTGATCATCAAAATTCATGTTCTGAGAAACACCAGGCAAAGAAATAATGCGTGGAGTTGAAGAAAATTCCTCATCATTGACATCAGCAAGTTTGCTTCTAAATCCATTTTCAACAGTCCTCGGCGTTGAATTTGACCCATGAGAACTGGGGCTTGTGTATCCATTAAAAATACTGTTATCTCCATCAAACTGGATGGGGTCATTGGTATCCAATTCATGGCAAACCATAGTTGAAATTGCTATGGGGAGAAAATTATTTTTTTCCTGTGTGCCATCACCCGTGGAATCCTCACCAGCACCAATTTGCATATCAAGATCACTATAACTAAAGTCCAGCGTACGAATTTCATAGCTATGCCTGGATCTGGTTTTAGTATGAGAAGCCCTGCCATCTAAATGAATTGGTGAATCAACACATGAAGTAGATGACAAACCATCCAGATGATAATCATTTTCCCAAAGCAGTGAGCAAACAGATCCTGCTGATTCATTCAAACAAGGAGATTCAAATTCATGTGCATACTCATTTTGCTCTTGGTTTTCAACTTCTAATGGGGAAAATTGGTCTCCAGGAGCACATTTTCCAACCACTGCAGATACTCCCGGAGAATCCACTGAATAAAAATTCAACTGGGATGAAGCATCATAAGGAGAATTTGGTGAGGAGGCATCGGATTGAATGATTAAATTGCATGCTGAATCATCAGACTGTTCGGGGAACAAACCATAGTTTCCATTTGAACCTACAATGGAATTTCTCTAGAGAAAGTGGTGTGAAATATTAGAAACACAATATATCAGATTTACAAAGAAATGAACTCTTAAGACCAGTCTAGATTTTTACTTTATAATGTATTCTCTTATATCAGACACTAATTCATTGGCAAGAAAACTCTCTTTCTTCAATTGAACAAAAAAGCAACACTGTTTACCTCCCTGGAATTTGCTATCAAAACATGGCTTGAATTTTGACTAGCAGTGCTCAAAAAGATATGTTGTGACTGCTCCAAGCTTCTACGGATGCATCCGACCATATCTGTTGGCATAGCAACGGCATAAGTGACCACATCAAAATCTGGAACCTGCAACAAAAGAAATTGAGTGTATTCATGGTGCTAGTATTGTCAAGCTAACTAGGTTAACCATCTTAACATGTAGTAATGCAGTAGTGCAATCATATATTTTCATGAGGAAAGTAAGAAGTATGACAGTAAGATTCTTACATTTAACTGCTTTGACCTCGCTTTATTTGAAAGCAAACGTATACACATACAAACTTTCCGAGTATTTTTTTTTTCAACAACGTCTGATGGGGAGAAAAGATCAATTCCAGTTAATCCCAACATTTTGCAGATCTAGATAAAGGAGAAAAGAAAGCATAATTTAGATACAACAAATCAGCTACAAGATTTGATATCAAATCCTAAGTCCATCGAGCTCATTTGCATGAAAGAAAAAATGGAAGATAAAAAAAGTAATAAGAGTACAGGTAAAGGAAAGGGTTGAACCTAAAGAATGCATGCTGAGTTCGTACATGCTTGGGTTTCAACATCTTGATTGTGATGTGAGTGCACAGGACAAAGAAGCCTACAGTGCATACTAAGTATGCACCATCCTTTACAGAGAAGTTGTGTAACACAGACTAGACTATATCTAGCTATTATCAAAATCCGCACATAGAAGGACCGGCAAAATGGTAATGCTTACCTTCAGAAAAATATCCACATTAGAATAAGGCATATACCTCCTGCTGCTCTTCCCAAAAGCAAATGGCTCATATTTGTATGCTTTTATATGTTTAAGCTCCATCCGTGTTGCTAACAACATTTGCCATACTACTCTTGACACTTCAAAGCTATAAGACAGAAGAATAAGAGGAAAGCACGTTTAAAAAATGATTAGAAGTCCGTTTAAGAAATGAAACAAAATAAATAAACTGCCATTAGCATTTACCTGGAATTGCAATTAATAAATATTTGTACATTGAAACATATCACTAAGTCTCTTCACACATCCTTATGTCAATACAGCTTTTTCTTTTTGTCTAAAATTTTCCTTCTATGTTCGGTTTCTTCTCAATTATACTGTGCATTACTAATTTACTATATAATTAGGAACACAAATTTTCTCAGCAACCGCTGGCAGAACCATGAGTAGCACCAGTGGAATAAAGATGGGTCTGTTATGGTCATTGAGATATTTGACCTTAAATGCACAAAGATAAAAGGAAACCACTAGTTCCCTAAATAAATTAAAAGATCATTTCCATTTGGAATGCACTCAAAGCTTATGTTAATGTTAGTACACAGCATTTCATCAATAAACATGCACACAAACGTGTGCGTGTATGAGTGCCTGTTATGCTAAATCTCAGCAAATTAATACCCTTTTTTCTCTTCCTATATATAAGCCATTATATATAATGATAGTTCTTTGGCTTTTCTGTATTCTGGTCCTCCTCCACTTATTATTTTGAGACATAATCACTAGAACTTCAAAATCATCTGGTTAATAAGCTAGAATTAAAAGTCAGGATCATAAGCCTAACCTACTTCAAGAACTTAAACAACTATGCATATGCTTTGAATGTTTCTCCTTTTAGCAAAATATTGATTGAAAATTTGACGGGATTCTTTCACTAGCTCCAGAATTGAATTCAACAAGGATAAAAGATCTCATATATTGTGGTTACCCCTCATTTTTATTATCTAAACATCCTTTGTTTAAAAAGATTCTGTATTTATTAACTACCCAAATGCATTGAAGAGAAAAAAGAAAGCAAATGATTCCAAAATCAAAAAGAAAAACAGTCCATCCTTCAATGAAGTTATTTCTGCATTCCAAAGTATTAGCCTTTGATATGCCATTACACAATACACTATTTGCACTGTCTTGAGATGCATTTTGATTAAGGTTTCTGTTGTAAAAATGCGGCGAGGCAAGTAGTGACAGATGGAATTTATAATTAACATGAGTTTAACCAAAAAAATAAATAGATTGAAGGGCTTGACAAGACACATAATAGAATAAAACTAAGACAAAGAGGACCTACAGCAACTCTCCATCAGCTAACAAATCAGAAATATCCATGTTTTCATTCAATCTCGTCTGGAGGACCTCCCCAAGCCATATTCTTGTTTGGGTCTGCATAAAAATCACGTTAAGTTAAATTAAAAACTAAAACACTCAATGCTACAAAATAATAATAATAATAATAATAATAATAATAATAAAATTAAAAATATTTGGTTAGCAATTAAAATCCAATAACATCAACTTTACAAATATAATCCTTAAAAATTAAGCAACCTCAAAAATCAAAATACTCTTATCTAACATCGAGAAAGTAGAGCAATCCAAATAGTAAGCTATAAATTAAATTAAAGACTAAATGCCGCAAAATTTTATTTTGTTAGCCATTAAAATCCAATTACATCGAGTTTACAAATATAATACTAAAGAATTAAACGAGTCCAAGTACAAAGAAAACAAAAAAAGCTTAAAAATACTCTTATTTAACATAGAGAAGATTTTAATGAATATAATTTAAAATGAAGAAGAAGAGACCTGCAAGAAGGCGTCATCGAGTTCACGGAAGCTGGATTCAGGGGAGAGAGGAGAAGAGTGGGCTACAACCATTGCAAGTGTTGGATTTTTCAGACAATGAACAAGAACTAACCCAATTTCGATATTTTTATATTTTGTAAATGGTTGAAATCAGAAGTAGTGCTTCCGGTTACTGTTTTTGTTCTTGTAGTAAAAATGACGGAGCGGGGATTACGCCCTTTTTGTTTGCATTTGTTTTCTTTTTTGTCTTGTGTCTACTATGACTATCTCGACTGTTATTGTTGACCACACACTATTCCTCATATCTTTTCTTTTCTTTACTGATTAAATCCCATAATTTTGATTTTATTTTATTCACACCCCTGTACTTGGGAATTAAATTATATTTGATCTTCTTTTGGGATTACTAATGTTCACTTAATAGAGGAGAAAAGCAACAACTTAACCAATTAGAGATATATTTGTCCGAGATGTAACTCAAACCTGTTTTTTATAATCAAATTAATAAAAATAAAATATGATTGAACCCGTATGGATTTAATTTTATCAAATTTCTAATGTTAAAACATAAAAACAGTAAGTGAATCATTAAAATATCAAGTGAACCGATTTTTAATCATTTTATAATTGATTGACCTAATAAAATTCGAACCATCAACAGTTTTTATCAAATGAGTATGTGTTGTATTAATAGGTCGTGTAAGATATTTTTCATGTCTAATTTAGTTAACTAAACTTATAATAGGAGGTTAAATAACTCTCAAACTATAAGGGGTGTTTATGAAATTGGGATATAGATGGGAGGGAGTGAAAAGACAGGACCAAATAAAAAGGGGTGTAGCTTTTTGCACCACTCGTTATTGTATACCATAGTTGAAACCATTGTGGCTTCTATTTGTTCTATATACTGACCACACAAGTCAATCTTATTACATTGTTATCTTCTTCTATCATATATTCATATAACCACTAATCTACAAGATAAATCAATATAATTAATTTAATCAATGGATACAAACACAAGGATGCAACATTAGGTTACAGGGCAGCCCAAAGACAATTTCATCTCACCCATTACTTTAAATCTAACATTAAGGTAGGTTTACTCACTTCAATCTACTTTCAATACTAATCCATTATATTGTTCTATTATTGTAGATATTTAATATTATAATTATAATGTCACAGACCAGACCTCTTCCTACAAACACAAACACATGCCAAAGGAGATCAGTCAGTCCCTCCAACACTTAAATCAAACACGCCGTTTTTGGGTCTTGTGACCGGCCAAGTCACAAGAGGGTACAATCATAATTTTGTCCTACGAACGCAAGTCTGTTAGGCTTATTAAAGACTTATGAAATTTATTCAATATATTTATACAATGATGGACTTTTTGAACGCCATCCGGCCGTACCTCCGGTAAGATGAGGCCATGACATTAGTAGGAAACAATGGAAAGAAAGTGTGAGGAAAGAATTAAGAAAAATAGTTACAAGGTTAGACAAATAGAGGGTTTACTTACTGAGCATTATTTTGTGCTCATCCCGTCATTTTCCTTTGTGGATGCAGGATCTAGGTGATGATGCAGTCGGAGGGGCGTCGGCAAGCGAGGAGCAATAGTTCACTGTTTCCCCTATTTTTGTCTTTTAAATGGCATTTTGTAAATTATGCTCTTTATGTATAAAAGACTTAGTACATATAATAAAAAGAAAAGTTTTGGACCCATTTTCTATATTATTATGCAAGCATTTTACTAGTTTACAGCAGTTGTTACAGAAACTCTCCATCCATTTCACTTAAAGTTTCAATGTGGTATCCATTGAATCGTATATCTTTGAAACTAAGAAAATTTCTTCTGGATTTGCTAAAATATAAAGCATCATAGATACTTAATTTAGTTTCGTTCGGTAACAAGAGTGTTGCTCTTTCGGAGCCCTCAATTATGTTTGCAGATTTTAATATAGTATTTATTTTAGCCTCAGTAAAGGTCAAACCTGAGAAATATTTTCTATCCCGAAGGATAGTGTGCGTTGTTGCACTGTCTACTATACAAATGTCTCCACCATTACTAGATATCGATGCCTCAGTTTCGAAGTCCATCCTTAAAAAAATTACATTAGTAAGGATGTTTACATAACTTCATCTTCATGATATGGAACCTTAGGTTCATTCTTTGTCTCTGTTTTACAAGCTTCATATTTGTAATCAATATTTAGAACTTCAAGTTCTAAAACGATATTTATTTATGGAACTTCAAGTTCATTTATCGCATTTAGCTATTGAAAATATAATAAAAGTGGATCCAACCATAAAATGTTGTATTCGACAAGAATAAACAGATCTGACCATGAAGGTGGTATTTAACAATAACAAATAGATTCAACCATAGAGATGAAATTTAACAATAATAAATAGATCTGACCATAGAGGTGGAATTCATCAATAATAAATAGATCCGACCATAGAGGCGGAATTTAACAATATTAAATAGATCCGCCCATAGAGACGAAATTTAATAATAATAAATAAATTCAACCATAAAGACAGAATCAACGATTAAAGAACACATATAGGATCGAAATACGTACTTTCGATAGGGGTGCAACGTTACATTTGTTAAGTTTTTCATGCTGATAATGTGTTGTAAACTAATTAATTATGAAATATAAAATAATTATAAGGACTAATGCATAGCAAATGAAAGATGAAGGATTATTGAAAATAGGAGAACAATAAAGGACCTGAAATTTATTCCCTCATATTGTTACCATCTTTTGCCATGTATCAAGAGGTGGCAATGGTACCTTGAAAGTTGTGAAACGGTAGTAGATCATGTTTCTTTACACCATATTGATGACATTGATGGGGAGCACAAGCATACACGAAAGTTGACTTGTGAATTGTGATACAGAGCGTTCACGAAGATAAATTAAATAAAGTTCACACAAACAACTCTTTGTTTATTTATTAAACACGCCATAAATGGGTCCTACGACTTGATGGATATTTAATTAACTAAAATTTTCCAAGGATCAAGGAACAGTTCCCCTCCTTGAATTAAGTGAAGTAAATTGAACAGGTTCATTCATTCTTTTGCAAAACTGATGCTCAATGAAATTTTCTTTCACAAACAGCTGGATCACATGATCTTGCCTCTTCAAGCTCACTCCAATTAGATTCCGTGATTCTTTTTATTTCTTTATTCAATTTAATATCAACTTTTTATCATTGTTTTAAAACCTGGATAAGAGGGTAACCCGTTTTACTGTCTGGGTCACGGATCAATCGATCCAACTGGTTGGATTGATGTGTCAATGATAATTTTATTTTTAAAAATTATTATTAACCCCTCAAATTTTAATATATTACGAAAATTTCTCTAAAAAAGTTCAAATTAGTCCATAAAATTTTTATTTATTTCAAAAATATCCAAAAATTATAATTAATCCCTAAACTTTTGACATATCTTCAAAACACCCCTATAAATTTATAAATTAACCCTTATAATTTTAAAATATTATAAAAAACCCCCTAAGACCTGAACTGGACCGAAGAAGTTGCCGGATCTCAGTCGGACCGGTTTGGTTTTTAAAACATAGCTTTTTATTATAAAAAATTCATGCCTTATTATGAGACCTGGCAAAACCGTGGGTGGGTTGGGTGTCGGCGTGGGTCTCACGAGTAGAGGCCTTAAACGAATTGATCAAAACGGGTCTGAAATATTGGATCAGTGCCCTATGGATCTGCAGGTGCCCCTGTTTCTCTTTCCAGTTTTCAATCTTGTTTCACCCTCAATAATTTTCAATTATAACAGTTACATCCTCAAAAATTCCTACAATTTTTTTTTTTTATAATTACACCCCCACAATTGTTATATAGCTTTTATTGGGCCTCCTCATCATCCAATTATGCATTTCAACAACAAACATCGCTATTTTATTTATGAGAAATACTAGTAGGGTTGTGCAAAACCGGGTACCCGCTCCGGTTTTCACCAAAAACTGGGTACTCGAATATTCGGGTACCTCTAAAAAGGTACCCGCAAATCAAACCAGTTTTCAGAATACCCGGTTTTGCGGGTATCGAATATTCGGGTCACAAACCGGGTATCCGATTTGTGACCCGAATTTGATTAAAATTACACAGTGCAGCAAAATTATACCAGCTTTGAAATTCATGTGTGTCAATCTTATTTGTTCTTAGTCACAATGGATCAGAATGCAACTTCTGATTAGTCATAGGACCTGACGCAGTGACGGGCTAAAATTTTAGGGCATAAGGTATTTGGGGCTTTTGCCTTTTGAAAATTGAAAGTAAACAAAAAATTAAAAAACTGCTTTTTTTTTTTTATTTTTTAATAAAACCGGTTAGCGGGTACCCAATTATCTTAAAGTAAATAACTGATACCCGAACCGAAAATTTGGGTATCGCGTTATAATTACCCGAAACCGACCCGAATTTTCGGGTATCCGGTTTTTTGGGTTCGCTTCGGTTAAGGGTTTTTTTTTGCATAGCCCTAAATACTAGATATACAAAGACTCCTACAAAGAGTCTTTGTACAAAGTGATGTGGCAGCTTGTGAAAAGAAAGTGAAGATTGATGTGAAACTAGTTGCCACATCACTTTGTACAAAGACTCTTTGTAAGAGTTTTTATACCTCTAGCATTTCCCTTTATTTATATATCTATATAAATTTCTTTACTTTTTCTCTTTCCATAAAATATCTTTCTCTTTCTCTTTCTATCTCTTAACAACATTGAACAAATCCTCCTCGAATCTCCTTTCACTACTGCTTCGGGTCCTGAAAAACAAAATCCCACCTTCCCACAGGACCCATCAAGCGCCATTAATGTCGCACAGTTGCTTACAATTTTTTTTTTGTAAATTTATTTATTTTATTTTTTTCTTTTTCAACCAACAACAACAACAACAACAAGAACACCAACGTCATGGATTCTCTTATCGTTTTAGAATTTCAACTCTGCTTTTTTTGGTGTTTGTTGTTGTTGTTATTCTTTTCTTCTTTCAATTTCATATTTTTTTTCTCTCTTTTACATTGCCTTGAGTAGCAAAACAGAAGCAAGATGTGGAGAATTGGAGATGAGATTGGAATTCGGAGATGACTGATTAGTGTTAGTGAGCTAAACGCCTAAACAGAGGACGAGATTGAGTGAGTGTGAGAGTCAGAGACGAGAGTGTATGTGACATACCTTGGATGAGCAAACGTCAAG